GGAATGGGAACAATTGTTACTGGTTTCCAACGGTCTTGTATAGAGTAGGTTTTTAAGGAATTGTTCAAAAATGATGTGATTATTTCACTGAGAGAATAGGCCCCATATTTCAGAAGGGAAGATGAAAGACCATCGGGAACAACACTGCACGTGGTTTTCACGGTAAGCAAAAGCTCAAGAGTTTCTTCTTTCGAGACGGCCTCCACTTGAACGGCATCTTCCATAACAAATGGCGTGATCGCATCGCTGGATGGGNATAAATGCGCATTAACACTGTTAAAATCCGTTGTACAATCCGGCGTTTGGGATTTGGTCCCACACAGCAATTTGATACCTTGCCAAATTCGCTTATTGGTGTACATAGCAGAAACTGGGAGGCGCACGAGGCGTTTGATTTCAGCTTTGATGAAGTCGGTGTAATGCTTGACAGTCGCTGAGTCTCTAGATTTGTACGATCATTCCTTCTGTCTTCTGAATGATTTCAGCAGTGGAGATGCTATTCTGCCGTTACAAACAAATAGAGTTTAGAAAGGGTAGCATAGGTTAAACGTGTGGTCAAGTGTTTCAGTGAATAAGTTGACTGCATTGTGTAAAGAGGGCTAAGAAGAAAACAACGAAGAAACGACATTGATAGAACGCTTAAGAAGAAGGGTGTTTCTTGGGGAGAGATTGCGAAGACGATTGGTGATTTGATTGTTTTTTGTGAGTGAATTGTGAATGGGACGGGAGTAGACTGTGGGTCTTATGAGATTCAGTGCATGATTACTAGTGGAAAACAGGTGCGGTGAGTTTTAGGGCAAAATGTTCTGGGTGATTAGTAATAACCTTGCCTAAAAATGAAGCAAATAGCAGTTAAGCCAAAAGAAGTTATGGGATAGGTGGATGCATGATTAAAGTCACCAACAATGATGTGGAGACTACCGTCCATGAGGGAAACGAAAGACGGAATAAATGCATCAAAGAAAGAATAAATGTGAGACTGGGTACAAAAGGGGGCTATGTATAAGTTGGTAATGATTATATTTCTGTATCGCGAAAATCTAAGGAAACATTGAACAACTAAGCAGCCAATGCCATCGGCGGAATAATCAAAAAGCATTTCAGACTTGCCGCTCCAGGTTGAGTTGATGTACGTGATCACTCCACCTCCTGCTTTCATTTTACAATGCTTCCTATCCTTACGGAAGCATTTGAACCCATTGATTCTAATTAGTGAGTCCTCGACATTATGGTTAGGCCAGGATTCTTGGATACAGACAACACGCGTGTTACGGTGGATGCGTGAATCAAGGGTGCACGTTAGATCCATCAGCTTTGCGAACAACGACCGGATGTTTGTGCTGACCAATGAGGGGACAGTCATTTTCGATGGTGGTGTGCGACTAAGCGCTACTTGCCAGCCACCGAGCTTGCGTTTCTTCATTTTAGTAGGAATCAGAAAATGAGCCGACCAGGACACGAAAGGCACTGTATTGAGATGATGATGTGTGAAACTCATTAAATGAGACTGCGAATAGACCTTCCGAGTGGTCAATATGTGGTATTCACGAAAACAGAATACTTCCGAGAGGGAGAAAATGTAGCACAGCCAATCGAAGGGCGCGCCTGTATACACAGAATGAGGTTGCAGAAACTTGCACTCCGCCCTTCAGTCGAAAACAAATAATCGGTTTAGATGTGAACACAGGTTTTAATTGTGCAGCGTAAAATGTTCTGCTTACTGCACTTGTGAGCTTTCTTTGAACGATTTCCACCTCTATATCTCCATTAAACGGCAGATGCACATAGACAGATTTCTTCGTTGCTCCTATTTCCTTAGGCCGATCCTCGTGTTTTAGCATTGCCCTATCGATAAATTCATTCGGGGTAGCCATTCTTGGCAAAAACAGTACGTAAGAACGGAAGTTCACTGTCGATGGTGTCCGTCGTGCAAATTTTCTTCGCTCTTTGAACCAAATAACGAATCAGATTTCTCTTCCTGTGAAGAGGGACAAAACTACGGAAGTGGATTTGCTGTTCTTTTCACAATACCATCCTGTGCACCGATAACTGCGGTGTCTTATCAGTATGTCTAGAAACGCTTGACTATTGTCTTCTTCCTTTTCCGTAGTACAGTTCACGTTCAGATGAACGTTATTGAATTCCTCAAACAACCGATTAGTGTCCGCATTTGAATCTGTTGTACGTAATATATCATCAACGTATTATCTATACAGGGTATATTGTCTGATATGAGGGGATCATGCTAAGGGTTTGCC